AATTGGTTGGCTCTCATTCACTCCAACTCCTTCCACTCCTGCCTCCACCTCATCTTCCTCTGCCTCTGCCCCTTCTTCTTCCACTGCCACGAACTCGAAGTCGAAGTTCGGAGGGAAAACAGTGCGCCCATCAGCATCATGATCCCACTTCAGTTTGATTTCTGGGCGGAAGTCTGCTGACATGCTTTCACCATCTTCCTCCACTCCAGCTTCTTGCTCTCCAAAAGTTATCCTTGTCACATCCACTTCGGGATAGACAGTCTTCACCTTTTCTCTGCAGTCCGTGAAGGCGATGATGGCAGTTGGCAATCGGTAGAGGTTGACGATGTTGTCAAACGAGCTCGAGCTGATGAAGTTGCTGATGTGCTCCTTCATCCCATTATGCACCAGGGTCTGCACATTCCCCTTCAGCTCTGAGAAAGCCTCCTTGGTCAGCTTTAACTCTTGCGCCAGAGCCTCACGCTCGCTTTCAGAGATCTTTCGCTTGGTCTCTTCAAAGCCGAGCTTGGTGCCCAGGGAAGCCCTGTCCTGTTCCAACTGCTTCAGAGTTGGAACCACCTCATCCAGCGACGCTTGCAGCTCCTTATTCTTTTTCTCCAGCTCTTCCTTCTCCTTTTGCAGCTGGTCACACTGCCTCTGCAAGCGTACGCGCTCCTTTGTGCTCTCTCTGAACTCCTGGGCTAGACCATTCACCCAGCTCGCGTTCTGCAAATCAAAGCAGAAGTTCAAAGAGAAAGAAGAGAAGAAGCAACAGAATAAGTAAACAATATTACTAATTTAACTTACCTCAAGCGCATGCTTCACAACAGATGCTCCCCCATACCTCAGAGCTTCTTCCCGCGCGTTCTTTAAGTCCACTTCGGGGAAGGTGTTGTTGATGAACCACCTAGCCCTCGTCATGTTATTTGCTCCAAACAAGTTGCTCTGAGGCCCCAGTGGAGGAAGAGGCCCCTTTCCCCTGCCAGGAGCTCGTACCTCAGCCCCCTCCTCCAACCGTCTGAGCTCTGGATTCAGCTCAACAGGAGGAGGCTGAGGTACAAACTCAGGCACCTCGTTCCTCTCCACCTCCTCCACCACCTTCTTCTTCTTCTCCAATGTTCTCCTCTCCTCCCAACCCTTTCTCTTCAGTGGTGCCACCTCCTCCCCCGTCTCAATTGAAGCAGTGGGCACCACCACCTTCCCAGTTATCCCCTCATCCACTTGTTTGCTTGAAGTCCTTGACTTATTTCTTGGCTTCTTGGGGATCGCCTTTCCTCCAGCCGCGCCCAGAAATTGATTCATGTCCGCTGCAAAGCAAAAAACACAATGTTAGTCACAATTCTATGTTTTACATTTAGCACTACAGTGTATGTAAAACAAACCTTCACTCAGAGCACTGGGCCCATAGAGTTCAGCAGCCTCTATGTATGCTGCGCTAGTGAGGTCCAAGATGTTCAGTTCTTCCCCCCTCTTCCTCACTAACCTCCCCACCTCTTCCTCCTCATCCTCATTCAAACTAAATTTATTCTGGTTGGCCCTTTTGGCCTTCCAGGAAGCTAACGCCTTCACCTCGGCATCCCCTTTCCCCCACTCAGTGTCATCTACAAAAAAGAATTTTTCCTTCCATCCCTTAATGGATGAAGGACCTGCTGTAAACAAAATCCTATCCTCCTTATTAGCTACCCTTGGGGTGAAATAATACCACCCCTTATCCCTCTTGCTACTACCCTTTAAAACAAAAAAATACTTAAACATATTTACAGTTGGCACACTGATTCCCTGAGCTCGGCAATAAACTAAAAAACCTATTATTACCCTCATTGCGTTGGGAACTAACTGTGTCAACCCTATGTTGTAATCTAACAACAAAGCTATCAACAACTCAGGAAGTGGAAACCTGAGTCCCGCCATCAAGTAGTGGGAATACGCAGGCATCCAGTGATCCCGAGGAGCAGAGCATGCCCTCTCCTCTACCCCAGCTGGCCTAACTAACACCCGGGAAGAGATCTCGTACGTTTCCACCAAGTGACACAGGTCATCCCTGGTCCTTAGTTC